CTTTATGCAATTAATATTCTTGTTCTGTCTTAAATATATTATTTTTTCTGAAAAGGTAAGCTAAATTATTATTTTCTTTCCAATTATATCACTCCTCGGACACAAGTGGTTAAAATTCTTTTAATTTTTCAATAATAAATTGCTTTTCCTAGGAGTATGTCATGCGCCCTGAGGTAAAGGACTTTTTTTACAGAATAGTGTTGATAAACCACATGAGCATATGTAAGTTATGAATTATTTCGAATTTAATGTATTATATGATAAAAATACTTGGAAAATCGAATTTGTAACTTTGTTTATTGAAAACTTTCTTGTCTAGAATAAACACCTAGTAGTACCTAGTACTACTTTTCAACTTTGTTAAGCATACCAAAAAAATATTTGACATAATTTAAAACTTGTAATTAAACACATTTTAAATTATAGTGGTGTCAAAGCAAGTATTTTAATCATTGGAAGTATAATTCGTAATATATTTGTAACTTCCTATTAAAACCGTTCCCTAAGAAAAAATCACCAACCCTATCGATCACATGTGACCCTTATTATTACAGTGTGCTCTCCAAATCAATCACTATTACTCTATTACAAATAACAATATATTTTTTGTGAATTCATTTATTCATTAAAAGAATTTTAATCACTTTACTAAATAATGCTATAGATAATCAATAACAAAATCAAACCAAAAGAAGCATGAATAAAATAAGCTGTAAATGAGTAAATGCCTCAAATGAATATTTTACTTTTTACGCTATTGCATTTGTAGTTGAAAATACCTATTATTATTGTCATTATTATGGGTTTCTATAATGGTACTTAGGTCCGCATGGATCTTAACCGGAATTAACAGTTGAGTATGACAATTATTATTTGTATATTATCGACACAACACAAAATCAATCACTCATATCATCTTTGATGATGATATGTTTAAGATAAGGTACGAAAATTCTCTAATATTTTGCTATAATGGTTGGAGGCTAATATTACAATAAACGACAGTATTGCCACATATTAAACAACTTTTTTTGTCCATATATATTATTATTTATTTATGTAATTAATTAATTCAATGTTGTGTCCGTTACAGAGCGAAAGATATATTTTTTTATTTGTTATTATTTGTTGTTTAATATGGTTCAATATCATTGACTTTGATTCATATGCATAAGTTATAAGTTAAAGATATGTTTACGATATCAAAAACTAAATTTTTTTAGATAGAATCCTAAATGGTTCACCTGTTTATACTGTTGAAGTAATGGAACCAGTTTGACCTTTAAGGGCGATTAAAATTACTTTTAGTTTTTGATTTCGTTGAACATTTTTTAACGAATCCTCTTAAATATAGGTGGAACGTTCAGAATTGGCACAGTCCGCAATAAAAATGTCGCATTTACTTTTTTCTTTCAACTTACTAATTAGACTGGAACGGTTGCTGACAGAACGCCTACTTTTACTCACTACAGACGTTGTAGGGAATATCGTAAATATAGAAAAGAGATGTCAGATAGGAATTGCAGCGGACACTAATAAAGAAAAGGAATAACATTAGACCAGTTAGTGTGTAACAGAAAGAGATGCAGGCAAACAAGAAAGTTAAACATTCTCAGGAATTTAGGTAAGCAAAGACGTTTGCTTAAANTCAAATAAAATCAAGAGCTAGACTCTTGGTTCAAGAAGCTCGTCAGTTTGGTCGAAGGGATAAACAGAACTACTTAGAGTGGCAAGATGAAGTGATACAGTTGCTCAAGAAAATTGGAGAAGTCGATAATAGGAACAGCGAAGCAGTCCAGAAAGAAAAGCAAAAGACATTAAGAATTTTTAAACAAAGCTACCCATCACCAGATGTTGCAAGGGTTGAAAAAGTGAAAACCACCACTGTACAGAATGGTTTATCCGAGAGCAAAGTAAATGTTTACAGCGAAGTTGATCCCCCAATTGTAAAAGTTTCCCAGTTGAGGAATATGTACGAATCCAAGCATTGGGACGAAGATCCCAAACCAGTTCCAACCTACAGAGAAACGAAATATTATTCTGAACTTCATAATTCCAGCAAGCAGTCACACGAACTAGTTAAACAACAAAATTTTGATGACAGTGAGTACACTTCTTCGTCAAGATATTCCTATTCATCTTCTTCCGGTTCTGATGAAGATAAGCAATTATACGAGACACACGAAGGTGAAATTCATGAAGTAGAACCTCCTCGAGAAAGAAACGTAGAAGAATCCCACATAGCTAAAGTGCGAGATTTAAGGAGTGTTTTTGAAAGAGATAATTATCAACCAGATGAAGAACTACTCCCTACTAACACTAGCAGTAAACTGCCTGTTCAAATCGCTAGAATGCCTGTAGAATCAGCTCAAAAAATTGAAGAAAGAGAAAAACCATCTGACGAAGAAATACCTTCTACTAAACTGCCTACTCATATTGTCACAAGGCCTTCAAAATGGTTTAAAAAAACTGAAGAAGACGAAGAAGAAGAAGTACCACAAGAAGAATCTTCAGGAGTATATAGAGTAGACGATGATGGATTCATTGTAGAACCTAATGATGGCACACCAAGAAGAGTAAGAGACACGTTAAAGGACGAACAGATTGTCCATTCCGTCACAGTTAAAGAACTCAAAAATGTTTTTGAGGGAAATGGACCTTCTCAAAATCCAGAAGTCCAAACCGCAACCATGCAAATTGCACATGAACAAAAATATATTCCTTATGAAGAATATGACAATAATATGCAGCAAACAGTAGTAATCACCGATTTAAATAACGAAGAAAACGATGAAGAAAATCCTGTTGATACATCGCATATAGCTAAAGTGAAAGAACTGAAAGATGCGATTGAAAAGAACGAAGATAATTCTCAAAATACTACTAAAGTCAATCAGGTACGATACCAAGTAGTTTATAGAGTTGAGCACCTAAAGTGAAAATAATTTCGATAGGTACTTAGGTTTGAAAAACACTGATAAGTAATATTAAGTCACTATTTATTTTTAGTTGATCGATTATTTTACAGTTCGAAACATATATTCATGCGATAAGCAGTGACATTTTCTTGTAAAAAATAATTATTTTTGCTACTTATTCTTAGTTGTTTTAGCTTTTAATTTCAGGTGTATTTAGAAGTAAAATTCTTCGGTATTTTATGTTGAATGAAATAGTAGAATTTTCTGGAATTAAGTATTATCTAATCATAGGTAGAGTTAATGCGAATTAGTTGTAAATTTTTATTTGTTTAAAGGAAAAAAGCCGATGTGGCGTCAACTTCCAAATATTTGTACAGGATGGCTGCATTATTATCACATATTTGTCGTAATCAATACGGTTTACACATTATAGAGATATTTTGTTTTGTTATCACCTTATCAATTTATTATTAGTGGCGAAGGCAGTGCACAAAAATCGCTTTTTTTCTAGCTTAACAAGTGACTCGTTTACAAATTCCACCGGTGCGGTGTTTGGTTTAAAGCGAATTTTATTAGTGCCAAAATAAAACGAAGAACCAGAGGTAAGCATGAGGTTCTTTTGCATTCTTACATATATTTTATTAATTTATTTAATTTAATTGTAATATTTTTCCAATAATTGCTGAATATAGCTCAGCTATTCAGTAGGGTGGGGCGTGATGCTTTCTTAACACTTAAGTTGCATGGCGCTTTGAATTTATTTAATGTAGCTACCTATCCTCAACAGCAAGTGCACACAATACTTTTTTTTTAATTTGTCGTTATTTATTTTGTATATTTTTGGCATACTTCACGTATCTGCAATATCCAGGCATCATTTTTTTTTAGATTCAAAATGCCAAGACCCTTGATTATAAACGTACAGTCCCAAAGAAGACCTTACCATTCCGGACCAAACGTGGAATCATTAGAACACTATACCAACGATGATATTGAAATTTATCACAGAGGGGCTCACGTGAACAGAAGTGAACACAATATACCAGACCATCGTCGTCGTGGAAAAAAATCCAAATATGCGCACCCTGAAAAGGAAACGCAGGAACCACCACGTAGATATCGTGAGCATAATAGGGCGGAAAAGAGTACCATTACAAGATCGAAATCGTTAGCCGATCTCAAAAGAAATCGCCGTCCACATGGGCATGAAGATGAAAGTTCCAGAATGTACCAAAGAAGACACAGTAACACAGAAGCGCATCCTAAAATGTTTGACTTTAGGGAAACATTTTCAAAGTTCGAAAACTTGACCACCGAATCCCAGAATGGTAATATTGAAAGGGAATTTCAAACTGTTAGCTCTCCAAGGACCAGGGGAAGATCAACAGTAGATCAAGAAGCCTCTGATTTAAGAGAAATTGATCAAATAAAATCAAGAGCTAGACTCTTGGTTCAAGAAGCTCGTCAGTTTGGTCGAAGGGATAAACAGAACTACTTAGAGTGGCAAGATGAAGTGATACAGTTGCTCAAGAAAATTGGAGAAGTCGATAATAGGAACAGCGAAGCAGTCCAGAAAGAAAAGCAAAAGACATTAAGAATTTTTAAACAAAGCTACCCATCACCAGATGTTGCAAGGGTTGAAAAAGTGAAAACCACCACTGTACAGAATGGTTTATCCGAGAGCAAAGTAAATGTTTACAGCGAAGTTGATCCCCCAATTGTAAAAGTTTCCCAGTTGAGGAATATGTACGAATCCAAGCATTGGGACGAAGATCCCAAACCAGTTCCAACCTACAGAGAAACGAAATATTATTCTGAACTTCATAATTCCAGCAAGCAGTCACACGAACTAGTTAAACAACAAAATTTTGATGACAGTGAGTACACTTCTTCGTCAAGATATTCCTATTCATCTTCTTCCGGTTCTGATGAAGATAAGCCATTATACGAGACACACGAAGGTGAAATTCATGAAGTAGAACCTCCTCGAGAAAAAAACGTAGAAGAATCCCACATAGCTAAAGTGCGAGATTTAAGGAGTGTTTTTGAAAGAGATAATTATCAACAAGATGAAGAACTACTCCCTACTAACACTAGCAGTAAACTGCCTGTTCAAATCGCTAGAATGCCAGTAGAATCAGCTCAAAAAATTGAAGAAAGAGAAAAACCATCTGACGAAGAAATACCTTCTACTAAACTGCCTACTCATATTGTCACAAGGCCTTCAAAATGGATTAAAAAAGCTGAAGAAGACGAAGAAGAAGTACCACAAGAAGAATCTTCAGGAGTATATAGAGTAGACGATGATGGATTCATTGTAGAACCTAA